GTTTTTATGGTGGGGTGTAGGTGGTGATGGTGGTGGTGGTTGCGGCGGCAGTGGCATGGTGCAAGCGACATTGATGGGGGTTGGGGTGACGTTAAACTGAAAACACCCAAAACGCGTTTTGAAAATTTTGGCTGAATTATAACTGAAAACACACAAAACGAAAAATTTGTCGTTTTGGGTTTTCTTCTTAAATTTTTGACTTGTTTTCAAAAACGAATTTTCGAAAATAGAAAAGAAAACACGTTTTCACTCTTTTGAAAAATCGAAAACAGAAAATGGATTGAAAACATGAAATAGAATAGCCCCCACTGCCTAGATCCACCATCACCATCCAATCAACCACTGCCTGCACCAACCACCACCAAGACCCGATGCTTTCCTGTAGCAAAACCACCGCCTGTTTTCAGTTACAACGCCACGGAGCAGAATAGAGAGAGAGAGAGACCCAAAATGATGAAATGAAGAGAGAGAGAGAGAGAGAGAGAGAGAGAGAGAGAGATAACACGTTTTCCTTTTGTTTATTTTGGAAACAATTTTCCAAAATGTCAAAAAGAACACATTTTCAACAATTTCAAAAATGGACACTCAAAACACAAAATCAAATATGAATTCAAAACTCAAAACACAAAACAGAAACACGAAGATAACAATCCCTTAGGCTCTTGATTTATCTTCCAAGTACCTACTTTATTTATGTATTGCTCTAGGTCCTTCATCACAAATAAGAAGTCTAATGAATTGATAGTTAATGATAAGAATTTAACAAAAAAAGTTGGGGATGTAACTGCGATAATATGCAAAGGTTGGAAACCTTCATTTCAATTAATATGTGATGCACCAAGCAAAATCTTTGGTGTGAATTATAATTGCCCTTTTACTTATGGCATTTAACTAACAATAATGTTGATTTGCCTAAAATACTCTTCAAACCAAAGTTGAAATAAACAACAAATNCTTCAAACTGAAGTTGAAATAAACAACAAATCTTTTATTTTCTTCTTTAAATTTGAGCATGAATTTGAAATAAGAATCCCCCATTTTTTCATATATATGAAATTCAGACCGAAACTCTAATAGAACTTATATCTTTCTCCACCAATTTGAAATTAATACAAAACTTTAGAAAGAAAAATCTATCTTCTCCATTCCCTTGCTCTGTTCTATAAGGTTATCAATTAAATAGTGTCATTCAATCTATTTTATTCAGTAACTTCCAACTTTAAAGACAATGTATGCTTTTATTCTCACATTTATGCCTTTTTTTTACTCGAGTGTCCGAGTTTCGTCAGACTAATCTTGAGGAGTGGAAGTCTTCCCCCTCTGGTTCGCCACCCGGGTAAATTTGGATGCAGTTTCAACTTATACACACTTAGACAGGACATTCGGGGAAGCGGTTCTCCTTCCTGTAGACCTCCCTTTACGACGTAAAGACATAACTCTCGAAGGAACGACAAAGCGCATCATAACTTTGCCACTGCAGAACATCTGTCTTCCAACATAAATGTTGCCTTCAGCTGTCGCGTGAATTCGAACCTCCAATACTCCGTAGAGAACCCTCCTGTTTTACCACTGTGTCATGCCCATGAAAACCACATTTATGCCTTTTTAATCCAATTTTAGAGCTTCTAATGTGAAAAAGATTCGATTTTCTTAATTTCAAATTTCGAAATGACAATGTAGTCGTTTAAAATGCAAGGGTACCATTTAAACGACCTTGTTTTTGCTTTTCAAAACAGAAACAACTGGTGGCCTATTGCAACCTGCCATTTTGTGGTAGAGTTATTCTATTAAGTTGTCGAAATTGCACTAGACCTTCTTAGCTTAAATTAGAGATATATAAGACTCTTTTACCATGATTTACAACCTTTTAAACTTCCAACATGGAGCAAAGGTAATTAAAACAAAATTTTGCCGTGTTGACTAGCCTCTATGTATGCTATATTATATAATTTATAATGGAGGGACGTGCAATCATTAATTTATTATGTTACTATTAGACTTCATTTCAAGTATATTATGTTCACGTTATTTAAAAATCATGAAAACTATTTTGATATAAAATCATGTTGAAATCTATAGATGATAATGGATCGAGCTGGCTTGCCTTTTAGCCAGGACAGACCAAATATCACTACAATATAAAAGAGGCAAAAACTTGGCTGCCTATCATTGACATAATTCATTTTTTTTTTATTTTAAAGTTGCCCTAAATTCATATCAAAGAACACCCTACCTTCTCAAATTTCCTTTACACCGTAGCCCGAAAACTCTCAGCCGCAACCTACAATCTCTCTTACTCCGAAAGAGAAAACCCAGATTCCCAAATCCTTCATCGGATGTGAAAAAACCTCTACTTAAACTCAATGCGGCGGAGAGGTGGTGGAGCAAGATTATTGACGTGGATGAGGCCACCTCGGAGACCTTGAGCTCGCTGGCTCAAATCTTGCCAATTCATGGGCTACTGTATTCGGTTTCGCTCTTATGGTAACTCTCCAAGAATATAAATTAATTCACTTTTTTATATGGATTGTGAAGATTTCCTTAATTTATTTAATCAAATTTGTATCTCAAAATGTTAGTTGAAAAAAATTTTATTGGTAGCACTGAAAAAAAAAAGTATCCGTGCAGCACAGAGGACATTGTGTGGGGACACGGTGTCATCCGTGCTGCACGAACACTTTTTTTTTTTACACTGATCACTCAAGATGGTAATTATTAATGCTAAGGAATTTTATTTTTTTTGCTCATATTTTATGTTGGGAGATAAAAAGATTGGATTTTTGGGTTATTTTGATATTTTATTAGAGTGGATTTTTTGATACAAATAAAGTCTCGCTTTAACCTTGTCATTCTGTATATACATTCGCACGTTCATTTATGGGCCTATTTTTTTCTTTTTAGTTTACTGATTTGATTTTTGTTCTACATTATTCTTGTGGGAACATGAAATAGGCTAAAAAAATAATTTATCGAAAAATAAATTATCGAGTTAAATTGTCAAAAAAATAATCTAAACTGCTATATTCAAGAAGCCCTTTTGGAATACAAATTTGTAACTTCGTACTTGTTTGTTCGCAAAGCGCTTTCAATGTCCATTCTTAAACAAAGTTTCGCATTCTTTAAAGTCTTAATAATTTTGAATTGTTCGTAAGACAAGGTTGAAAGGAAACATGAAATAGGCTATCAATTATTATCTTATGTTCTTGTTCCATGCAAGATGCCAACAAATTTTCATCATTGTGTTTCTGTTTTATCCAACAAAATAGAAGCTTTTCATTGTTTGCTTCTCATTTGCATAGGCCATAGGTAATATGTTTTATCCAAAAAAAGGTCTTCTTTAGGTAGTTATGTCTCTTTTTGTAGAAAAATCATGGGTGACTCTATGTATGTATTGTGTTTTCTTTACTCTTTTTTCTACAAAATCATTCCTCCTTCATTAGGTACTTTCAGCTTTCTTTACTTTCTGTTTTCATTACACATCATATGCGGTACTATTATGCATTTTCATAATCCTTATGTTTTGGAATTTCCAATGTTTTTGTTTGTTCTTTCGATTCCCTATTTGATTACTTTATCCTTTACTGTTTTCGTGAAAATAAAATTCATACATCTTTTTTGATGTTCTCGTGAAATTCTGTGATTTGTGTTACCTGAATTTTTATCAAATTATACAAATCTTTATCTTTAATGGAGTACAGTGTATTTTTTTCTTATAGAAGTTTTGTGAATACTGATATCGACTTGAGCTGTGCTTCAAAAGGTGGGTAAGTAACGAAATTACATCCATAGTTATGTTAAAAAGGATAAAGTATTGAAAATAGTGAAACGGGGGATCAATACTTGATACTCGCTGACTACTAATAAAAAGCTGAACTTGCAATTTGTCTTTGAAGTTTGATAACAAATTGAGATGTACATTTTTTGTTGTTTTGTGCTTCTTGTTGCAGATTGGGCCTCTTCTTTCAACACCATTATTTACAAATGAATTTCTCTAAAATTTACAAATACTAATTTTTAAGACTAATCAACAAACATACAACGCCGTTTCCTTCGCTAGTATTTTTAAAAAAGCATGAAAAAAGCTCTGCTTTAGCTTTCTTCCCTCCTATCTCAATATCCCATATCTTACAATTTCCAATATCCCTTTGCTTATCATCCCACTTTCCTTGCCAAAATCCTCGTAATTTGGATTTAAGAGTTATTAATTTGTTAGGTCAAACCACAACAAAGAGAAATTATTGAAATTGGATAAAAGATTTGTATACCATTTTTAGTAAATAAATCATTTTTAGATTGGTGTATGATGAAGTNTATACCATTTTTAGTAAATAAATCATTTTTAGATTGGTGTATGATGAAGTTTCTTAAATGATATGGGGTTACTACGGGTACAAACTGTAAATATTTACTTGTAACCAAATCATGGTGAACTTGAAAAACAATTTCTTTTTCTAACTGCTAAGAGTTGCTACATCAGTAATAGCAACTCGTTAAAAGTTTCAAAACCCTTCTTGATATTGAAGATGTTTTCGTAGATTCATATGAGGCAAACACTCAAGTAGTTTCAACCAACTTTTACATATGTAACATATCTCAAATTTACAACAAATTAAGAATTGAGTTTCAGAAGAGATTGAGCAGCTATGTCAATTGAGCCAATGGACTTTCGTTAGTTATGATCGCTTTAAAATTAAAAACGAAAACATGTTTAAATTGATTAGGGGAAGAACATAGATGCCTCGCAGAGAAATTGTTCTGATAGCATTCAGAAGTAACTAAAATGAGATTGAGAGATTCCTTATTTTTCATTGATTTTAAGCAATATCATGCCCATACACATTACAGAAAATAGAAACATACATGATATTATTCAATTTAAAGAGAACAAACATATTACAAGGTAAATTATACAAGGAAAACACATAACACACAGGAAAAACCTATGATATAAAAGAACTGAAACTAATAAACTAACAAATTCTTGTCGTATTGAGACCATCTTATCTCCTTTGGAAGTTGAATGCCATGATAGAATAGGCAAAGATGAAGGCAAAAAGGACGTTGAAAGCAAGAATTATTCCAGCAATGACTCCAAGAAAACTGTATTCGAACCCAAAGTAATCTTTGAAGAATTGTTCTACTGTATCACCAGTGTCCATCACATCCTGAATCTCTCCAAATTGTGATACTATTAAACCATACAAGGTATAAGCGACCGGAGTTGCCCAGTAATACCATCTCCACCAGATAGGGATCCTCTGTTAGCAAAAGGAAAGATGAAATTTGTTAGTGTTCATAATTTGCTTGTATTCATTGATCTTGCTAATGAAAAATTGTGTTGCTAATACTTACCGGACGTGGGACGATAAATCCAGAAAAGAGATTCCAAATTGCATAGAAGAAAGACGAGATAATGGCAGCAATGTTGTGATTAGGAGTGATAGCCACAGTCATCATTCCATAGAGG